CACACATACATATATATATAGTTCAAAAGTTATTAAAAAAAAGTTTAAAAGTCGATCATCTGTTTTTCTTTACTGTATGAGTCTCTCTTTGTGCATCCAACTGGGTTTCAAAATGCCATTTAATCTCTTTCTGTCAAATGACTGACTATAAACTAGTCTCTGACAGCACTGTGATTGGCATCTTATTAAAAACAGATTTGCATAACCGGATGGCCTATTATCCACCTGTATCCACTGGCACAACACCAGGCTGCATCACAATCACTTCCATTCAGTGCAGTTTAACCGCTGCCACCTATTTCTCGAGGCTGAACAAGTTAAAGCTGGCAAGTTAATGGAGAAATAAACTTAAAGCAATTAAAGGCTCTGCGGCACTAAAGTAAACTGCACTTTACTTGACGTCTCCTTTATTCTCGGATGAGAATGAGGACTCCGATAAGGCTGTTTTTGTAAATTACATACTTTTTGATGGCTAACCACAAGGCAAGTTACAACCGTGCCATTCACAAGCTTAAACAGTATGTTTTATAAAGAGCAGGCCTTAAATAATGGCCATTATCACGAACCTTTCCAGTCATAATAACACAGTCGGGTGTTAAAACGGGCCGGTAGCTGCTATCAGAGTGTTTGTGGTGTTTCTGTAACCCGTTTTTCAGAAGAATCAACCATTCATACTGGGCTCTTCTTTAGCTGCTAGTGTTGAATAACAGCTGTCCGGCAGAGTCGAGAATCTCGGTTAACCAGAATAACATCCCGGTCCGACTCACCCAGCTGGAAGGATGTAGCCTCGCTCTTCACCCCGGGACCAGCCCCTGTGCTGGCTGCCACCTCCACCCTGTACGTGACCCCTGGAACCAGGCCGGGAATCAGAACCGAGTGTGTGGATCCATCCACTGTGCGGTTAATGTGGTATCGGCTTTCATTACCAAGACACCAGATCTGAGGGGGGAAAAGTAAAGAAAACATGATGGGAGACAGACAGTTAGCACTTAATAAAAAATAATTTACGTTGAATAACAAGTCTGTTCTGAAAGAGTGAACCTTTTTAAGTGATACTAACATAATCTAAAAGTTTGGGCACGCCTGCTTTATGATTACTATTTTGCACATTTTAATTGTCTCCAAGTCTTTAAAACTATGAAATAACACAAATTGAAGTATAGTAATGATGTAGTGCCTATTTAAAAAATGTATATTAGTATTTATTATTATTATTATTATTATTAAGATCATGTGAAGCATAAACAGTAATAATATGTTCACACACAGGTTTGGACACACTTGACTGAAATTATGCTTCACATGATCTTAATAATAATATTTTTTTATTATTATTATACATGTTTAAAAATATTATATTTAAACACGTTTTTATCAAAATATTTTGATAAGATTATGAGAAACATCAATTCAGTAAAGTGTGTCCAAACTTTTGTGTTTGCATAAATAGACAAATTGTTTCGCTAACTTTATCAATGTTACAAACAAATATTTATCGTCTGAAAATAATGCACGA